TAACAGTGGGGGGTCTTAGTAGTATATCACAGGACGTGTTAAATATGCAGACCTCGGTAATGCATACTGGGGAGTCAAACTGACTATGGTCACACTACTAAGACCGAGAATTCAGCTTTCTTTACCTCACCACTATTCCCACCTACAATTCGGTTTAACAGTGGGGGCGCAAGCATTTTCATGGGCTTTGCAAAAAAGGCCTTTATGACGAAACACCAGACTGCAGAAGAGTCTAGTTTACTTATATCTTTCCTTCCTCCTGAGCCTGCATTGTAAATATTTGTACCATTGAGTCCTTAAATACCTAACTCTGATGCTCATATCCCACACATAGCAACCCACCGATATTTTTGTCAAACAGCAGACACTTATTGTCTGTGTTGTTAAATAAGATACATTATCTGACAATAATAGGACTGAACATCCTGCTCTTTGTATTTATTTTTAACTATTTTTCCTATATTTTTTTTTTTTTTTTACAATAACGTTAAAAGTTAAGTTTTAATAAATCACTGATTGTTACTGTAATAAGGCTTCACCCTGGCAAATATGCAACATTGTATCGAATCAGGAGACACCTGTTGGTAGATTTTGTTTCCTTTTTGTTTTGTATTTTTTCAGCTACATTTAGCAACAATTTAGGGGTTATCCCCCATTTTCTTTTCCATAGTACCACCACTCTGTCTGATTTCACCGTATAGGCTCTATTCGTTTTTGAGCAATTAGTTCTGTACGTACCTGTTTCCTGCACCCACATTTCTCCTCTTGGCTCGTGTAACTGTGCTGCTTTCCTACAGTTGCGCGGCCTGAACGCTTAATGTGGCTGCGCGACCTGAGCAGGGAATACTTACCATTCGGTCCAGCAAACAGCTCCATCTCCTGGCTTGTGCAGGCCAAAATCATGTTAAATCATGTTATCTGTACTCTTCCTGCATTGTAATATCATTTATAATTCAAATGCTGTAAAGTCATGCCCACCCTTATCATGACTACGTCATCCAGACATTATCAATTATTTTGGAGTGGCAGTGATGACGTGGACCAATCAGAATTATTGTTAGCCTATATAAGGCTAATTTGGACACTTATTCCTTTCCCTATTGTAGTTTCTGTCCTGATACATGTTAGTGCTCATAGAAGGTCTCTCTTGTTTTATCCTGGTATTGATCTCGCTTGTATTTGACTTTGTGTATTTCTGGTATCCTGACCCAGCTTGTGTCACGGCTTACCTTAGTTGAGAGTCCAGTAGGCAGAGATTTGTGCTCACCCTTCCAGATATACATAGCCCGAGGTGATAAGGTTAGAAACCACCAGGACTGTGAATCTGTGCATGGGGTTGTGCATGAAAGGTGTTTCCAATACGCGGTACAGACAAGGACAAATCCGGAAGAGTAGTCAGACACGGTTCCAAAAGTCAAGGCAGGCAGCGAACACGCAATAACGCATAATCCAAGAAGAAAAGGTCACAAGCCAAGTCAGTCTTAGAAAAAAAGGACACAAGAAACAGGATACAACAAACTGACACTGCCCTTTAGGGAAAGTCAGTGTTTTATACCTGGAGTAATGATCAATCTGCCTCAGGTGGACTTTGATAGACAGGTGGGAGCCACTGGTGGTCCAGTCCCCTAGAGCTGGAAACAAGGCAAGGTTTAACATTAAGCTGAAGTGTGGTTCAGAGGATCAGGACACATGCGGGCCAGCGTTGAAATCCCCTGTTGGACACTTCTGGGGTGACCGCGTCTGGATGTCACAGTGAGAACCGTGATAGCTTGTTTCTGACTTTGTGTTTGTGATTTCTGGTATCCTGACCCGGCTTGTTATTCTGTTTATCCATACGGCTATACGTGACTGTGTCTTTATCTGTATTACATTAAGTCAGGCCACTCTAAGGTCCTATCTAGTACCTCTGTTTGTGGGATTTGCCATTCCTGTAAGTTGGGGTACGACCCCCGTGACAGCTGTAGAGCTCTCGCACGGAGCAAATGTCCTATATTTGTTAAAGGACCACTCCACACAAAAGGCACTTTTGTCATTTTTCTACTTGGGGGAAAGAAATACCTTCTTGACCATCAATAAGAAAGCCTCCAACTGGAGTATTCCCAAGCACAGACAATCCAGTTTTCCAACTTGGAATTTTCACATTGAAATTCGCCAGATTGGTTACGTTGCCTTCGAGACCGTATGGTAGCCCAGGAATGAGAATTACCCCCATGATGGCATACCATTTGCAAAAGTAGACAACCCAAGGTATTGCAAATGGGGTATGCCCAGTCTTTTTTAGTAGCCACTTGGTCACAAACACTGGCCAAAATTAGTGTTAATATTTGAAAATGCAAAAAACTAATTTGAACGTCAATTTTGGCCAGTGTTTGTGACCAAGTGGCTACTAAAAAAGACTGGACATACCCCATTTGCAAATATCTTGGGGTTGTCTACTTTTGCAAATGGTATGCCATTATGGGGGTAATTCTCATTCCTGGGCTACCGTACGGTCTCAAAGGCAACGTAACCAATCTGGCGAATTTCAAAGTCAAAAAACTTAAACGCAAGCCTTATATTTAACTCTCTACCTTTTGAAAACACCATAAAACCTGTACATAAGGGGTACTGTTATACTCGGGAGACTTAACTGAACACAAATATTAGTGTTTCAAAACGGTAAAACATATCACAACAATTATATTGTCCGTGGAACTGCCATTTGGGTGTGAAAAATTTAAAAAATGTCACTTTCACTGACAATATCGTCGTTGTAATACATGTTACTGTTTTGAAACACTAATATTTGTGTTCAGTGAAGTCTTCCGAGTAAAACAGTAACCCACATGTACATGTTTTATGGTGTCTTGGAAAGTTACAGGGTTAAATATAGTGCTAGCAAAAATAAATAGCACTAAAATATAGTGCTAGCAAATTAAATTCCCGTATGTATGTATGTATGTATATACATACATACATACATACATACATACACACACACACACACATATATATATGTATATAATTTTTTAAAATTATTTTTATTTATATATAGGTATATATAGTGATATATACGTATATACTTATGTATATAGATATATATATTATTTCGTTCTACATGTATTTTGATATCAATATATATATATTAATTTTAAAATACAGTTAGAATGAATTTACACATATATATTTTTTATTTCTTTTTTATTATTTTTTAATTTAATTTTTTTACGTATTTACAGATTTATTTATTTTATATTATATATAAATATATATAATGAAAATTATATATATATATTTAATCAATATCATTGTACGTGTATTTTGATATTAATATATATTTATAATTATATATATATATTAATATTAAAATACACTTAGACAGTGTATGTGTGTATATATATACTTAGATCATATATATAATAAGTATATATATATATATGATCTAAGTATATATTATTTCATTTTACACTGATTTAACTTTTATTTTATTTATTTTCAGACAGCAGGGGGAGTACCTGTCATTACAGGCACTACCCCTGCTGGCAATGCCTTGATCGTGAGGTCCTCGCAAGGACCTCGCGATCACATGGCCCAAGGGGGCCGAAAAGGACGGAGGGGGACTCCCTGGGTTCCCAGGTGAGTCCCCATACCACGATCGCCAACGTGGTAAGTACAAAGGACGGTTTGGACGTTCTATGCCGCTCTGCAGATTTCTACCATACATAGAACACCCGCCGTCCTTAAGGGGTTAACATCCATGATGAGATAGCACACTGAGTACCCAGTAGCCTAAAGTTCCCAAGGTAAGTATAAATATAAATAAAAATAACTTATGGTCTAAATAGTTCCTTAACATTTGGCTAGTATCATTTATATAGATTTTGCAATACAAAGATCCTCAAAGGACAACACCAAACCCATAAAGCATTTCAGCTTGCCAAAAAGAAACATAAAACTGACAGTTGTATCTATATGCTAATTAGATATAGTGATCCTTAAAATCAAGCCAACAGGTGATATATTGTGTCTCTATATATTCCCTATTAGTATAATAAATATACCTTCAGAATCATTTCATAATTACAATGTCCAAATAATCTGGAACAATCGTAGAAAAAGGGAGTTTAACTGAAAAAAAAAAATAGTATTATAATAGGGAGAGATCACCTAAATTGTCAATTGGCTGTATATCACCTGTTGGCTTGATTTTTAGGATCACTACATCTAATTAGCATATGGATAAATAAAGCCTGTTATATCATTGAATAGACAGTTAATTTTTATTTTATTTTATTCCAGTTTTATTGGTTTTGTCATAAAAAAAAGGGGTACAGAAGAAAATTGAGGAGATGGGGATCACTAAGATTGGGGATAATACAATAGGCATGGTACATCAAAGGTGCATGGTTAGTTGTTACTAGTGATGTCGCGAACATGAAATTTTCGGTTCGCGAACGGCGAACGCGAATTTCGGCAAATGTTCGCGAACCCGCGAACCGGGCGAACCGCCATAGACTTCAATAGGCAGGCGAATTTTAAAACACACAGGGACTCTTTCTGGCCACAATAGGGATGGAAAAGTTGTTTCAAGGGTACTAACACCTGGACTGTGGCATGC